ATAACCGACACCCCACACCAGGGTACTATAATAGAAGGAGAAAAATCTCTTTAATTATAGCAGTGTTGCAGGCTTCTCCCATGGCTGGCTGGCCACGGCATGGAGTTGGTAGGCATACAGTGTCTTTCATACTTGCCATTACAACATGTTAATTAAGAGAATTCAGCTGTGGCACCAGCTGGGGATGTCTGGCTCTGTGGAAGATTGCAATTAGATGCTTTATTTTCTATTTTCTTTCTCCCCTTTCAACTTTGGTGGAATGCCTTTGAGTAGGGGCTTTTAGTCTCAGCAGCATAAATACTTTAATGTGCCTAATTATGTAATCGTACACTTACACTCCTCTGTGTACACACACATGGTTTTATGGATTTTTATCGCCTTTTCTCATACATGAAACACCCTGCCTGCTTTTTTGGTTGGTATGGTGGAGCCAGATTCCTTCGTGCATTTCAGGCAGAAAGAAGAGGAGGGTCAGAGGCAGTTGTGATTTTCCTCTGCTTTTAATTTACCCCTCTGCCCCCTCATTGACCCATTGACCCTTTTATGGGGAAGTCCTTTCTCTCTCAAATAATTAGCATCTCAATAGTTTCCTAGCAAAGTCAAGGTAATTTAAATAAAATTGAACTTTATAATATTGTGTCTTTCCGTTAATTTGCAAGTGCTGTCTTCCAAAGTGTGTAGTGTTATTTTTCCCAGTCCTCTGTTCCAGGCAGGCGTAGGGCATTAGCCTGGACATGAGAGTGCATGCATACAGGCACAATGGAACCCATTGATTTCTAGCATGCAGCCGGTGCAGAGAGGTCCTGTAACCCCAGCTGTTAGAACCAGAACCTGGGAGCAGCTGCCTTCTGAGACCCAGTCCTCTGTGGATAGGCCATCTGCTGCCATGCGAGTGAATGCTGGGAAAGAAATTGACCAAAGGACATCTTGTGTTCCTTTTCTCTGCTCCAATCCCTCCATTTCTTTCCTGGCACCCCCCTCCCCCCGGCAAATTTAGGAAGCATGATGAATCTGTACCAGAAAACTCACATGGTTGTCCTCTCTGTCCTTCCCTGTCCCCAGTCCACCACACCAGTGTACCCTGCTCCATTGAAAAATAGTTTCCACAGCAGGCAGGTACATTTATATGGCTGGCTGCTTCCGCTGGATTAGTTCTAGAGAACAGGCTTCTGTTTTATTTTTAGCAACATGACTTCGCATTTTAGAATGGGAAGGGTCCTTAAAATCTCATTTTATGGAAAAGGAACCCAGTATTTTTCATTCCTTAGCCTTGTATTCAGGGTCTTCCCTGTCCTGGTGCCAGCCTGATTTTCTAAATGTCCAGCTGTCTCCTGTTAAACATGGAATCTCTTGCCGCTTCCCACACACAGCTCTGCTTCTCTCCCTGTGCCGGTGCTGTCATCTCCCTGCTCTCCCTTTATCCCATGGTCACGGTCCTGCTTCCTGTAAAGGTCAGAGTTCTGATACCATTTGTTCCATCCTTCCTGATCTCTTCCTCATTAGAATCTAAGTCCTTCTTCAGAACTTCCTGTCGTATGCCATGTTGATTTCTAATGTGTGTCCATTATGGTTACTTACTAGACAGTAAGCTCCCAGAGAGTAGGGCCTGTACTTTTTTCATCTATACATTTCTTCCACCCTCCTTCTCCCCTTGCCTGCCACAGTGCTTTGGGACATAGTAAAAACTTGTGGAAAGAATGACTGGGTAAATGTAATCCTGACGTGAACTCTAGGAGATAAGCAGAGTAAATATTACTATTACTATCACCTGGTTGGGGCTCCTTATCTATGTCCTCAAAGAGTCTAAAGTCTTCAGGAACAGAACCATATATTACTTACTCTTGAATTTCTAGCACCAACCTGGCACATTGGTAGGTATGTGTTTAATAGATATTTGTTAAATTACTGAAGTATAATTCCTATTAGGAAAGTGAAACCCAGGGAGATTAAGAATCAACACTTGTAAATGTTTTTCACTCTCTTCTGGGTGAAAGTTATTAAACCCGTGTTTTTTTTTTTTTTGGAAGACAAAAAGTTAAAGGGTATTTTCTCTTCCACCTGTGTGACATCTGGACATAGTTAACTACTGACACATAGAATGGGTGAGGCTGCAATAGGCAATATCTTCTGACCAGGAATCTTGGACTGGTCAGTTAGAAATGACTTGGCAGACAGAGTCAAGGGTCCAAAGGCCAGGAGAGGCCAGTGACAGGAGCAGAAGCCTCAGCATGATTAATAAGAGCACAGTTGAGATTCTGCTGCTGACTCTGACCTGGCCCAGACTTCACTAGTCTGTTTTGAGGCCGCTCTGTTTAAGTGATCAAGGAGTCTCAACACTATGCTAGAGCCAGGCTGGTAAATACACAGGCTAAATCAAAGGGGAGGCAAGTCCTAGTCTTGTGGAAAAGCACCTTGAGAGCCATGTGCCCTGCTTTTGACCTCGCAGTGGATTTTAGTGGATTCCCGTTGTTTTTAAAGTTTCTTCAAAGAGGCTTAAATACGGCCTCAGAGAAAAGCAATTGGGAAGGATTCACCTCCTGTGCCTGGGAGGAGGAAGGGAGTACCCCTGTGGCAGGCAACCTCTCCATTGACCACAGTGGCCCCATCTGGTCCAAAACTTTAGAAAGACCCAAATGTCGAAAAGTGGAGAACAAAAAAACGTTGGGAGATCTCGTTCAACTCCTCATTATCCTTATCAACTGATGGTAGCACAGGGTGGTAAGTTCCCTTTCTAGGAGGTACAAAGGAAATCAGCAAGGCTTGATAAGCTGCTTTTCCTGTGGTGGCCGTGTGAGATAGAGTGGTTTAAGATCCAGTGTTTCAAGAAGAGAATCCCATCCCCCACAATAGAGGAGAAAGAATATCCAGATCGTAACTGCGGATTCCCATCTACCTATATGCCCATTGTCACCATGTGCCAAGGTTGTAAGAGCTTTATTACCCCCACTCTCCCTAAATAACAATAACAACAACAAAACAAACTTTTTTTTTTTTTAAGATTTTATTTATTTATTTGACAGAGAGAGACATAGTGAGAGCAGGAACACAAGTAGGGGGAGTGGGAGAGGGAGAAGCTGGCTTCCCGCAGAGCAGGGAGCCCGATGTGGGACTCGATCCCAGGACCCTGGGATCATGACCTGAGCCGAAGGCAGACACTTAACGACTGAGCCACCCAGGCGCCCCAAAACAAACTTTTTCCTTTTATATTTCCTGTCCCTGTCTTATAGTAGAGTCAGACCCGACTTGAGCCCCCACAGAATGTACAGGGCTTACTTCATTGTGTGCCTTTGTTAACCTTAAAAATAAAAGTCCGTTATTTTACCAGCAAAAATGGGTTTACTCAGGAATAACAGAATTGCAATTTGGGACATGCAAATTATGGCAAAACCATAGACAAGTCCAACAAACAAAATAGAGGAACTTTATTTTATGGAGGAGGAAGTTGGGAGGGGTTGTTTTGAACAAAAGTCCATTGGAGAAAACCAAGAGTTCACAGTGATGACGATTTCTCATTGACCGAGTTGCAGGGGTAATCAGTTTCTTGTAGGAGATGCAATATGCATATTTCCCTTTTGGGGCCTGTAATTGATGATTTTTTACATTGAGATGTTCTGCTAGGGGTCTTTGACTGATAGTTCTTCTGGTAATGGACACTGAGTGGTAGGGCTATCCATTCCATCCTCCCCTTCTAGCATCTTGAGTCTACTTTAGTGAGATTTCCCTTAGTTTTCACACCTCAGACTCACAGTTAGTTACACCTTATATGTCACGAGGAAACCCAGTCACATCTTTCTTCAGAAAGACCATTCAAACTTTACCCCTCAATTACTGGTGAGTGTTTTTCAGGGAACTATGGTGTTTTGTTGGTGGATTAGTTCATCACCTGCTCTCTGTCACCATCTGTAGTTAGAGTTTATACCGATTATTTCCTTTCATTCTTTTGAAGTTGGGTAGGGTCTCAGTGAGTAGCAGTGTCCTTTGAGCACCTGAGAGAAGCAGACTGCTGCCTGACTCACTGTTTTGTGGCACATGGCAGAGGCTGATTATTTGGGGCTTTGGCAGAGATGCCCCAGTGACCCTGTGTGTTCCAGGAGCTGGCCGAAAGTCAGCCCACTGTCTAATTCTAATCCACCTCCTCGTTCTGTGTTTAGTGACAACCTTCCCTTCACACATCCTTCTAGGAAGATTTGCATTCTTAGCAGAAGAATGCCTTCTCCTCTTGCAGCTTTGGTAACTGCAGTCCCTAAATAGCTTGCTTATTGCATTTAGAGATGAGTGAAGGAAACTGTCTTGCCTGTTTCCCCACTACTCCAGAAAAATGTGGGCCCACTTGAGATATGAGCTGAGTCCTCTGGGCACAGGTACACTCCCCTGTTCACATTCTTCTCCAGAATGGAGTCACTGCAACTTTTGTCAGTCATACCCCACCCCCAGGTTATACCTTTGTAGGTCTTGGGATAAATTTTTCTGCTCGCATCTGTAATCAAGGAGTTTCTCTGTAAGAGGGAGAAGGGCAAACCAGAGTTTGAATCCAGACTCGTAATGCTTAGTAGCCAGGTAACCTCAGACCATTACTAAATTTTTCAAAGCTTCAGTTTCTTCATCTGAGCAAACTGAGTATTCTACCACCTTCCTGGTAGTACAGGAGAATGAAATAGGACGGCAGCTTTAAAGTGCCCAGGGTGGTATCTGGTGATACATGTATATTCATTCTCTTCCTCTCTTCTACCTCTACCCTGTTGGACAACAGAAATCATTAAGTTGTGTGTGTTTTTTTTAAGATTTTATTTATTTATTTAACAGAGAGAGGCACAGCGAGAGAGGGAACACAAGCAGGGGGAGTGGGAGAGGGAGAAGCAGGCTCCCAGCTGAGAAGGGAGCCCGATGCGGGGCTCGATCCCAGGACCCCAGGACCATGACCCGAGCCGAAGGCAGGCGCTTAATGACTGAGCCACCCAGGCGCCCTCAGAAATCATTGTTTGTCTTAAATTTAAATTTGTGTTTCTTGAAGGCTTACTGTGTGTGCTTGGCACTGTCCTTGGCATTAGGAGTTACCAGTAGTGTTGGAAATGAAGCCACAACTCTGATCTTTGTGCCTGAGTCCAGCCCTGCTTCAGACTCCAAGCCAGACTGCTAATTATCGCCTGCTTATCAGTGACCCTTCTGGAGTTGGACAGTGTCCTAGGCAGCAGACGGGGGCCCTCCTCCAGAGCACTAGCCTGCATCCTCTCAGGGGTGGGGAACTCTGAGGGGGGAGAACAAACACAGGTGTAGCTCAGTGAGATGATAGGGTGAAGGAGGTGAGACCCGGAAGTAGCCGTTGCTGAAAAAAAAAAAAAAGAAAACATCATCTGCGTTCCCTTAACCCTTCCATCACTACCACTGTCAAGGGGTGAATAGAAACATTGTTCATGCACATGGGGTGGCCTGGCTCCCTAGCTTTGCTGTCCTCCCGCTGTCATGGGGGCTGTGCTCTGCAGGTCACTGCACTGGGTGACACCCGGGCCTGGAGGGAATAGGAAGAAGGCCAGTGGTCCTCCTGGCCGCCCTTCTTTTAGCAGTCATGATAGTAGGAGGGGGAGAGGTGGGGGTACCGCCACAGCTGGCAGCCTGTTCCCCTGGGTCCCTGAGCTGCAAGAACAGGAGGATGTAAGAGGGGAACAGGCCATACGGAGGCCATTTGTCAGGCAAGAGAGCAGCCCAGGCTGCTCTGCTGAGAAGGCAAATAGGGAAAGGGGCTGGTGTTACTGAGCTGGAGCAAGGGGGAAGCAAAGAAAGACACCTCCCACCCCAACGAAGTGCCCACCCTGCTCTGTTCTCTGCCTGTCCTGTCTCCAGATAGCCAGACAGTCCTACGACAACCTTTTTTCTTATCTTTGCCAGAGCCTTTGCCCTAACCCATTCCAAAAACCAGAGGTCAAGGCCTAGTTTGCTATGTGAAAACGAATGTAAAGTTTATCAGTTCCTGATATGTGCCAGACATCATGCGAGTATCTTTTAGGTAAGCAGTTTTGTCATTCTTCTAAAACACTACTTGTGGGTGGGCATGACTGTCAAGGAGTAAGGCTCGAAACAGTTCAGGCAGTTGACAAGGTTGCAGATCGGGCCCCTGGGTCAAACCTAAATTCATCTGGCTGACATCCAAGACCATGATCTGACCTGTCCTGGCCCTGATCCTGTCAGGTCAGGAGTACATTTCCATGGTATATACCAGATTCAGAGAACATGAGATGTACCTTGCAGAGGTATTCTCTCTGCTGTTACCTGCTCTTGCCTCATGTCAAATCAGAAACCATATGGCCCTTTGCATTTAAAAAACATGACAGTACCTTGAAATGTGGGCAGAATTTTGCAAGTCAGAGTGGTTTTCTACTAAGCATCTACTGTCCGCCAGATTCAATGCCAAGATCTGGGGATAAAAAGAATGAGCAGAACACATACTTGCCCTGGGGCCTGGGTGGGTGGGTGGGGTTAGTGGGGAGGTGGGGAAAGGACTTACCTGTGAGGAAGTGATTGTTGCAGAACCAACAATATGGTGATAGTTTATAGAGAAGAATGAAGACATTCTGAGAACAAAGGAGGAATAATAAAGCTACTGTTTATTGAACACTTAATGTGTCACAGACCCAGTACCAGGTGCTTTACCTGTGGACTTATGATTAATCTGCACAACCACCCTGTAGGTAGACACCTGTACTTTAGGATCCCTATTTTACAAGCAAGGGAACTGAGGAATCGGAAGATGTGCCCAAGCCCACACGGGGGGTAACCGTTGGCAGTGTGACTCCCCTGCTCTCATTCTAGACCCATGCTGGTGAGCGTTACCTTGTGCTGCTTTGTTTTCCCTGGCAGTGCTCTTTGGAATGGTTTTTCTGGAGCGGGTGACCTTGGGACTGAATGTCCAACGATGGGTGGGGTTCCAGCTGACACATGTGCTTTCAGGTCAGGGGTCCCGGCAGAGGAGAGAAATAGCACTTCTTCTTTCAGAACAACTGAGGGCTTTGCTGGCTGCTTCCAGGTGCTAGGAGTTTCAGATCTGCAGCAAGGTGCAGTGAAGATGTTCCTCCTCATTGGCTCTGAAGCCATGGCTTGCATTTCCCCTTTCCTGCGAGGTGGAGGGAGGGAAGGAGGGACCCAGACCCAAGATAAGACTGACAGGCTCTGAAGCCAGTCCCACTTTTGAGTTACCCATCTGTCTCCTGTCTCCTAGTGCAGGGCTTCCCCTAGACCTCTCTCAGGGAAAATGGGGGTGGGGGCCTGGGAGGAGCAGTATGGCAGCCTAAACCATAGGTGGTGGGTTCCCCCTTCTTTCTCCACCCCAGCCCCAGGGCCACACCCTGGGAAAGGCTTGAGCTGTGGCAGTCACCCTCCCCCAACGCATGGGAAGTTCTCATGAGAAAAGGGATCCCAGCTGGACAATGGCTTCCTGTCTGAGTGCTGGGAAGGTCTGTCTTAGAGGAGAGGAAGGTTGCAAATGGCGTGAGAAATTGTCTCTTCCCTCTCGCTGCCTCCCGTTTGAGACTTTTGACTCTTTGAGTGGGGGGTCAGGAAGGCCGAAAGCCAGGGAGAGCCAGGGACAGAAGCAGCTCTTGGGTATCCCTGAGTAAGTGAACTCCTCTTGCTGTTTACCTGTTCCCACTACACAGCTGAGGCAGGAATCTGCCCAGAGGGATGCAGGAGTTTCTGCACAGACAGCCTGCTTCTCCTCAAGTGCCTCACACCTTGTCCTCTATTTAAAACCACCATGGCTGTAGAACTTTGATGAAGGAACTGTGAGTAGGTGGTGAGGCCAGCCACTCAACCAACTTAAGACAAATTTGCAAATGTGAGAAGAAACCTCAGAGGTCACCTGGTTCGTGTCAGACAGACACTGTCCACAGGCAGTACCCAGACTGTCACTGGGCTCCCTTTCCAGGATGTGGGTAGGGGAGGAGAAAGTGGGCTCAGAGACCCTCTGTTACTGCCTGGTGTCATGGAGAGGGAAGTCAGCCTTCCTGGGTTCAAATCCTAACTCTGCCCCTTTCCTGCTTGGTGCCCATGAGGAAGTTTCTTAACTTCTCTTCACTCAATTTGTGCATCTGTATAATGTTGTAGTAATACGTTTCTTACAGGGTCTTTGTGAAACTTAAATGAGTTACACATGTCAAGTGCTTGGACTGGTGCTTGGCATTTAGTAGTTGGTCAATAAATGTTAATACTGAGATTTTTAAAGGCGGCCTCAGAAGAAATCTTTTGTCTGTAGTCAGATGTGATCGCTACCCCCCCCCAACTCCTGCCTCTTTACATTTGTCTGGAATGTCCACTCCCAACTTTCTTGGGAGGTTTTCATGAGAGAATCACCTCCTATTTGAGCTAGCCTTTTCACGCTATAGTATGACTTGTCCTTTCACATACAGAGTAGCTAGATGTTCCAAAAGCTCCAGGCCTAGTGTATCAGGGGATGAGCCACAGAATGGAGCCTAGGAGCCAGAGTGCCTATTGACTCCAGCATCGTCATTTACAAATGTGTGATTTGTGGCAAATTTCTCAACTCAGCTGAGCCTCATTGTTCTTAGGAGAAAATATAGTACCTGCATCATGTTAAGAGAGAGCTCACAAGAGTGCCTGGCACATGTAATATGCTGTCTATTTGCAGTAATTACTACTTTCCTTGTTTTATGTAAAAAAAAAAAAAAAACCCCAAACCAAAACACCAAACTGTAGATTTAAATACCCTTTTTGTCTGTTTTTACCTTGCTTTTTCTCTGGCTCTGCTCCTAACCCTTGAGGGCTAGAAGTGGAATCGGATCTTCACATATCAAGAAGGAATTTTGAGGGGTGCCTGGGTGGCTCAGTTGGTTAAGTAGCTGCCTTCGGCTCAGGGTCCTGGGATCGAGCCCCACATCAGGCTCCCTGCTCAGCGAAGAGCCTGCTTCTCCCTCTCCCTCTGCCTGCCACTCTGCCTACTTGTGCTTTCTCTCTCTGTCAAATAAATAAATAAAATCTTTAAAAAAAAAAAAAAGGAATTTTGAAAGCATGGCAACTGTGCCTTTTAAAGCAACCTGCAGGGCTCCTCAGTGCCCAGGGCTACCTTTGTCCACATCTGCTGCTTTTCCTTGTATCTCTTGCCCTGGGCTGTGGCTCTGAACCCTCTCCGCTGCTTTCCGATCCCCAGAGGCCTCCTCTGGCACTCAGACACGGACTCTTCCCCACATTCTGTGCTGTCCAGGACAGTGGCTCCAAGCCCCATATGGCTACTGAGAGCTTGAAGTGTGGCTCGTCTGACTTGAGATGTGCTGTAAGTGTAGACTTACTAATGAAAAAAAAAATCAAATATCTCATTAATAAATTTGTGTATCGATTACATGTTGAGATGTAATCAGTAATGTATTTTACATATAGTAGCTTAAATAGATTATTAAAATTAATTTTATGTGTTTCCTTTTACTTTTTCAGTGTGGCTACTAGAAAATTTAAAATTACCTGTGTGGCTACATTATATTTCTCTTGGACAGTGCTGTGCTAGATATGTGATGTCCATCTGTTCCTTCCCCCCTCCTTATTTTTTTGATTCTTTTTCTCTTCTTTGCCCCGGGGTCTCACCTTCCACCAGTTGCCACCAGTGCTCAGATGAATAAGAGGTCTCGGACAAGGACAGCCCAGGCTAATAGAAAAGCTAACCTTTTACCACCTCCTTCTTTGAGTTACATTAGAGTTGCATGCATGTGAGTCTGTCCTCTCTAAATTGTTAAGCTTTTGGTGGGCCCGGTCCTGTCACATGGACATTTATGGCCCTCCTAGGGTGGCTGGTGGGGAGAGGCGAGCTCGAATCCTTCGATGGAATTACAACCAAATAGGGACGTTTCCAGTACTGCCTCCAGTGGTGTCCCTGGTGATTGCACCTGCTGGGTTTGTGTGCTGGGTTTGGGGGAGCCTTTTTCTTCTCTCCTGGCCCCTGAATTCCCAGGAATGCTTTTCTCTGGCCATCCTTTCTTTGGATGCCTTGATTAAACACCACTTCTCTGTGCTCAGTTGTGTTCTAAATGTTACTCCTCTGATTTAGTCTAAAGCATTATTTCAAACCTGGGAGTGAACACCGACAGTTTCTTAAGCCTTCAGTCCCTGTTTGGAAGTATGGTTTTCTTGATAACCAACTCAACCAGAAACCTCTTTTGTTGAGTCTTTTTCAGACGCACCAGGTAGGGGCACCTGGGTGGCTCAGTCGTTAAGCGTCTGCCTTCGGCTCAGGTCATGGTCCCGGGGTCCTGGGATCGAGCCCCGCATCGGGCTCCCTGCTCCGTGGGAAGCCTGCTTCTCCCTCTCCCCCTGCTTGTGTTCCCTCTCTCGCTGTATCTCTCTCTGTCAAATAAATAAATAAAAATCTTTAAAAAAAATGCACCAGGTATTTAAACATCTCTTTCCCCTCCTCAGGCTGGCCTTAGAACTCCCTACTCCCCACACCTGATTCTGCAGGGGCTCAAGTGCTTCTTCAGTTTTTTAAACTGAACAGTTTGATCCTGGGCCCCTTCCTGGAGCTCCCTTTGATTTGCTTGTTACGGAATCGTACAAGTTTGTTTTGTTTATTGCCTCTTTCTCCTGAAAGGCTGGTCCCCAAAACAGCAAAAGCAAAACCCATTTAGAAGGGCCGATCAAGGGTTCTTCTTTTCTACTGAGGGTTTTAGGCTGCAGTGACTTGGAGGTGGAAGGATCAGCCAGCTTATTTTGCATCTTCTACCCCCATCTGTCCGCTCCCAGCTGGTTGGATGGCCTTTCGCTGAATGACTACTGTGCACCAGTCACTCTGCGGCCCCTGAAGAACTGCCTCGCTGCGTCCTGCGTGCAGTGGAGACCTAAGGGGCTGTAGGAGATCATGGAAAGCAGAGAAGGAAGCTAAGGAGAATTAATTGATTTTTTTCCTATAAAATTTCTATCTTCTGGCTTTCTCCCTCTTTTTTTAAAATTATGCAGGTTTGCCAAATCAGATGAGTTCATTGTCTTCTTGAGGTTGAGAACAGAGCTCAAAACTCTCAGACCTAGGGTTGTCAGAGAGAGAGCCCAATGCACAGATTAAGTGAGCCTCCTGCCCAGAAGGGTGGCTTCCAGAAGCCTCTGGATGATTATTTGCTCTTCCTGATGTTCTTCCCTTTCTTGTTAACCCAGGCGTCACTGAGAGGGTCCTCTCAAACACCTGCTCTTTGCCATGACTCTCCCACTCTGCTGTTTGGGCAACAGAGCCATATTTTTGTGTGTGTGTGTGTTCCTGGTGTCTTAAAATGACCTTGCCTCCACCCACCCACCCCCCTTTTTGTTTTTATTTCTACAGCCTCCTTACTTCCTTGGACCCGGGGCAGCCTCTTTGCAACGCTGAGCCCGATGTATTTAGCTTGTCCCCTTTGCCTGACCGTCCTAGGTAACATAACATAACATAACCTGTGTGCACTTATCTCACCAGGCTGGCATTGCTGTGCTGCTGACATACTCTAGGGCTCCCTCCAACCTGTCCATCTTTGATCAGATTCAGCTCCTCTTGTAATTCTGCCCTTCTCGAGACCCCTCAAAAGCTCCCCTTGTCCTTTGAACATAGTACAAACATCTTCTGTGGCAGTCAAGGCCCTCAGCAAGATGGTTTCATTGCTCGGCACTTTTTTCTGAATTTTCCTTACTGTATTATGCAACCCAGCTAGCTGGGGCTGCTTGATCTTTTCTAGGCTTTACTTGTGCTTTCCTATCTCTGCATTTGCTTAAACCTTCTTCTGATGAGATAAAGCCCCCACTTGAAATGCCACCCCCTCATGAACCTTGCCTGGTCTCTCCCACACAAGATGTGGTCTCCTGCTTTGTGCTCCCTGTCTTGTAGCACTAATCACGTTCTTTGAGGTGTATTAGAATATCTATGTGTGGAGTATCTTTGGAAGAATATGAAAGAAATGGGTGCAGTGCCTTTGAAGAGAGGAATTGAGTGACTCAGGAACAGGAGAGGGTTTACTTTTCACTGTACACCCTTCTTTTTGAGTTTTATATCATGTGTATATATATCCTATGTTTTTTTTTTTTCAGTAAAAGTATTATTTACATAACAAAGATCCACTCTAGAAAACATTGGGGAGTACGTTTATAACCTCAGAGGGTACGTTTATAACTCCAGAGAAATGTCCTTAAGACACAAAGCCCAGAAGCCATAAAGAAAACAACTTTTAAAACATATGTGTATACTTGTCATAGCCGTCTTTAGCTCCAAGTACCTGAAGTGCTTATCTTTATCCTTTTTCAGAGCAGAGCACAATGACTCCTACATAATAATCAATAAATATTAGTTGAATTGAAATGAAATGAAATTGCAAGTCACTTCTTTGTAGACCTCAGTCTTTTTCACTGATCAAATGAATGCTGGGTGATCTCCAGGGTTCCTCTCATAGATTCCATGCAGATGTGTGCTTTCTGGGCAGGGATACCAGCAAAGCGGGAGTGGCTTTAGAATCTGCAGCTCTTCCTCTGAGACCATCTTTCCCAGCACACTGGACCTGTGAGTGGGTCCTGCCTGCTTTCTGGAGCTGCCCTGGAGTACTCAGCGTTAATTATGCCTCGGAAATGCCCCAATTAGACACAGTCCTAGGAGAGCTGGGGGATCTGTGGCAGTCTTGTTGCCCTGAACAAAAGAAGGAAAGTGTAAAGAGTAAAGCCGTTTGTAGAGGTTTCTTTGGAAATCCAGCTGGCCAGCTCTTTGAACTAGTTGGCCCAAGTTGCAGGAGGCACCAGAAAGGAGTGCGGTGGGTCTGTCCCCTCCTGTTCAAGACTTTGGGTGAGGTGGGTGGCGTGGGAAGAATCTGGAGAAGGCATATCCCTATAGGGGACTGGGGGGCTTATTTGGGCTCATCTGTTAGTCTCAGAGAAGTTGCCCAGACCTCCCCTGTGGATCCCTGGGGCACCCACCCTGGCATTGTCTTCTAATAAATCTTTGCAATTGAGTCTTTTCTCCCCACCTCAGCAATAAGCAGCTTGTAGGCAGGGAGCCGTCATCTCTTTTTTTGACATGACCCCCCCCCCGCCACCTGGCTGGCTGGCAGCTTGCTTACTAGCAGTTTGCAGGTTGAAGGGAAGTGGTATTTGGTGAGAGACTGTAAGGGTATCTGTATGCGAGGGAGTGGTGGGCAGGCCCGTGAATGGGAGAGGGCACAATCAGACTCCAGGTCTTTTAGAAGAAGTGGAACAACAAAAAAAAAACCCCAACAGTTCTTATTTTCATACTGATGTTCTTGTGATAGGATAGGGGCAGGGTATCTGTCAGCAAAATCAGATGTCCTTTGGAGACTTTTATCTTTCTTGTATTAGGATGGCTTTTGGAAAGTTGAAGTTCGTGGTACCTGGCCATCCTGCCAGCGTGTCTTCTCCCCGAGCCCAGCCTTCCAAACAGCAGTTCCTTTCGTGCCCCTGCTGTGCCCCGCCTCTCACGGTCCATCAATGGTCCATCCTGCAGTGTCTGTCCGGGATTGGAAGGGCGGGCCGTGGCGTCGGAGTCCCCCTTCTCCTCGGGCTGCTCAGACCTTGCTGCTCGTCTGATTTATTACTACTACTTATCTATACCAGGGTTCCCATCACAGTTGGGCTCCGTTTGCCATCCCCCTGACTGACCTGTTTGAAAGGGAGGTAACCTTGACATTCACACTTCTTAAAGGCCCGCTCAGCTCATGGGGTAGAAGCAGTGTCTGTGGGTGGAAAGGGCACAAGTCTTAGAATCAGAAGAGTCCACCAGGGAGGTCTGCCCTTTATGCCGCCTTACGCTTGGCTACAAGTCATTGAACTTCTGTGGGCCAGTGTCCTCATCGACAAAGGGCAGTCATGATACCTATCTCCTGGAGCTGTCAGCGTAAATAAGATAGGAGGTGAAGGTGCTTTTAAAGCTGAACAGTCCTACCTGAAAAATGCAGGCTTTCCTATGGGATAGAGACAAGCGCTGGCAATGACCACTCCACTCAGGAGGTAGGGGCTGGAGAGGGGGCCTGCGAATCCATCAGAAATCCCCTGCCAGGCCATGAAGGCACATTTTCATCACACAGTGGAGTCCTTGCTGGTATTGATGTTGGAAACAGGGCTGATGTGTCTCCTGCCCAGGCTGACAGTATTTTTACCACCTTTCACTCTGATTCATTGTGTGTCTCAGTAGGTTTTATCAAAACCGTATTATGTGCTAGATCTCTGTGAGTTCACGACTTTGTCAGAGTCTGTCACTCCCTTATGAATTCAGTCCTCTCAAGGCACGTGCTGAGGAGAGGGGCAGTGTTGCAAGCAGCCAGATTTTCCGTGTGGCTAGCGTGCTTCCCTCTGTCATTGGCAACCTGAATTTCCAGAGTTTGGCCAACAGCCTTTCCAAGGGAATGGCTCTTGCTTCCTCCTGTGTTACCTGTTGAGGCCTGCAGAACCATCCTGCTCAGCGTCACGGACAGGATTCCCACTGGAAAACCCCAGCACTGTAGCACCATTAACTGTCTGTCTTTGCAGTGTGCTCCCTGCCCCCGGAGCCAGAGAATGGTGGCTACATCTGCCACCCCCGGCCTTGCAGAGACCCCCTGAACGCGGGCAGCGTCATTGAGTACCTGTGTGCCGAAGGCTACATGTTGAAGGGCGATTACAAGTACCTGACCTGTAAGAATGGAGAGTGGAAGCCAGCCATGGAGATCAGCTGTCGTCTCAACGAGGGTCAGTCTGACAGATGGGAAAGCGGGAGCTGCTGGGGTTCTGTTTCCTTTCAACTGACGGGCAGTGGTGCCCACTTCCTCCAGAGCACCTGTGCCGTGGGGCAGTATAGTTCCTTTGATGCCCTGCGGCCTCCCTTCCTTTGGGATTTCAGGTCTTTGTGCAAGACATCTGGGGTTGCTGGTGCGTGTCCCACTGCAATTCAGCTGAGCCACCAAGGGGCTCGGTAGCTTTACTGAGGCATCTGTTCTGCTATGTAAAGTCCCTTTGATGCTCAGCATCTCCTGTTTGCCCAGCCAAGTGCTGGTGACCTTTGACCGTGTTCTCCTAACACCTTCTGGAGTGTCTCTTTTATATTATTTTTCTTTGAATGGAAATGGACTATTTTGTTATAGAGCTCTACAGTCCAGCTGGACAGAAGACCTTGCCCTCACCCCCTCCTGCCCCCTCCTGTTGTGCATGACAGGAAAATCCAACTGCCTGCAGGAAAGCGTGTGTCATACAGCCGTCTTTGTGCTTCACACTCGGGCTCCAAGACCATGACAACCCAGGGAAGGCTGGGGACCGGCCTGAGATTTACAACTGAAGCTATAGGATCTTAGAACAGGGGGTTATTACAGCTTGGTTCTTACCAGTTTCCCTGCCACATGGGGGAAACATGGGCAGGACCTCGGATGGTGGAATGCCGCGGCCAGGGAAGTGGCCGATGTCCACCAGCCCGCTACTGAGGGCAACGTCAGAAGGGGTTCGTACAGGTCAGATCTCTAGGGGTCGGTGAGGTTAGGAATGAGATGGCCCTCACAGGGCTGAAGTGAATTTTAGATTTGGGAACAGGATAGGGAAATGGCTCCTTTCCTTGTATGTAAACACTGCTCCACACATCGACTTCCAGGTGGCCCCGGCCGTGGCACTGGGCAAGGAAGCTTGGACGAGATCAGCCGTGGGGCTCACGTGTTCCAGGTCCGGGTATGACACACTTCTGACAATGGTTTATTTCTGTAGACAAAGATGCCCGCACGTCCCTCGGGGTCCCCACGCTGTCCATAGTGGCTTCCACTGCCAGCTCCGTGGCTCTCATTCTCCTCCTTGTAGTGCTCTTTGTGCTGCTGCAGCCGAAGCTGAAGTCGTTCCATCACAGCAGGTGAGCCCGTTGGGGGGGGCGGGGGGGCACTGGGGGGTCTGGCCTCTGACGGCACAGGTGTTGCTGGTGAGCCCGGCAGCCTCTTCTGTGTGTGCCCAGGGGAAGCGGGGTGGGGGGGGGGCGCTCCTGTGTGTTCACTCCTGGATGTGCCTGGCCCTGTGCTTATCACTTTGCACACAGTAGCTTAATCCTCACAGGAGCATTGCAGATAAGGAAGCTGAGGTTCAGAAAGGTTAAGTCAAGGTCATCCCTCTAGAGGATGACCGCCTGGAGATTTAAACCTAAATATGTCCAGCCCCTGAGCCATGTCATTTGCCCTACATTGGTGGTTCTCTAAGTGTGGTTCCAACAGCGTCAGCATCACCTGGGGACTTGTTAGGAATGAGAATTTTCAGGCCCTACCCCAGACCAACTGAATGAGAAACTCTGGGGCTGGGGCCTAGTGACTTAGTTTCTGAAGTCCTCCAGGGGATTCTGATGCAGGCTCACGTTTGTGAGCCTCTGCCCTCTCCCTCTGGTTCCCAGGCCTGCTGCACATAGAGGCGTCTGCTGGGAGTTAACCACACATACCAGCACCTGGGCCTCCATGCCCAGATATTCTGATTAATTTGGTTTGGAGTGGAAGCCTGGCATTAGTGTTTCTTAAAAAACTTCCCCGATGCGGCTAGGATCGGCAGCCACTGCTCTATACTGCACTAGAAACAGAAGAAGTAGGGGTTTTGCCTGCCTTTGTCACTTTCCTTTTTGCAGTTGAATGCGTTAGCCACAAGTCATCCCAGACTGGGTAGATGAGGTGGGGGGGTCGGGGAGCAGATGGTTGGGGGCTGGCCCCGCGTGTATCCCTTAGGAGGGACTCCGCTCCAGGTCTGTCCCGCCTCTGTGGTTGCTTGGCTTGGCCCGGCGGCCCCTCTTTCTCCTGAGAATGGTTTGTGTGCACTCACAGCCCTTCATCAGTCACCGTTGCCATCCACAGGCGTGGAGGAACAAACAAAACTGTGTTAAATAAAATGCTTCCTGGTCTGGAATTTACAGACAAGGCCCAGGCTAAGTTGAATCCTGACGTACTAGGTGTGATTTTTCTGTCTCCTTTTTATTTTTTGTTTGGGGGAGCAGGTTGCAGCTATTTTTTTGAAGGTCGTTAAACAATTAGTAGAATAAAGAGGATCTGGAGGGGACTGTTTACTTACGCTGTTTCCACATAAAGTCAAACTGATCTAGTCATTTCATCCAAATTAGGGAGTATTTTTCTCTTGTAGTTATCTGGTAAGTGTGTTAAAAGTAATGGGCTGATTTTTCCTGATTTGAGTGGAAGAACGATTTGGTTTTTAATATGGACTCTGTTTAAATTTTCTTCTGTGTGCACATACTACGTTTTAAACAAACAAACAAAAAGCGTTTTGAGTAACAAGTTAAACACATACCAGAATGCACACTGCTTTCTATGCTCCCTTGCTGTCAGTTTCCCTTCCTTCCAGAAACCTCCATGCATTTCTTTTTTTTGAAAGATTTTATTTATTTATTCATGAGAGAGAGAGAGAGGCAGAGGCAGAGGGAGAAGCAGGCCTCCCACAGAGCAGGGAGCGCGATACGGGACTCGATCTCAGGACCCTGGGATCATGACCTGAGCTGAAAGCAGACACTTAACCATCTGAGCCACCCAGGCGCCCTCTCCATGCATTTCTGAGTACCACTTCTGTCATCCTCATTGTCTGTGCTATTTGAATTGGGCGACACAGATTTTATCTGCAGGTACAGATGAGGAACTTGAGAGCTAATAACAGCAGTCCAGTCCTCGACCTTCTGTGTCTCTGACGTGAGGCACTGAGGACACACAGCACAGATGACACAGTGTTCCAGGCAAACAGTGACTTGGGATCTTTATCCCAAGGAAACAATTCAGTCCAGATTGTGGGACATTCTAGGAGATGACCAGCCTGGACTCTACAAAAAATGTCAGTGTCGTGAAGGAAACTCTATAGTGGACTGTCCTAGGGGAAAGGAGATAAAATAGGACTAACTGCAATGCATGATCCATAATTGGATCCTCAAGGAAAACAGACCTCTTTTGGGGTAGTTGGGAAAATTTGTATTACAGTCTTACACCATTGTTCAATTTCAGGGATGTAATGATGTTGCAGTTGTATAGGAGAGGAGGTTCTTGGGAGGACTGTGCCAAATAATGTTTTTTGTAGCAAAAAGATAACTTACTTTCAAAATGATTCAGGAAAAAAAGTGTGTGTGTGTATGTGTGTGTATCAAAAAGTGATCTCAAAAGTGCTTGCATGAATAAATCTCACACACATAAAGTTGAATAAAAGAAGCCAGATACATGTACACACATACATACATTCATTGTATATCCCATTCGTATCAAAATAAAAAATATGCAAAACTCAACTGTGGTGTTGAAGGGTTCATGTTTAGGCAGTAAAACTATTGAAATAGAAAGCAAAGGAATGATTTTCTTTCTTTCCATTTTTTTTTTTTAAGATTTTATTTATTTGACAGAGAGAGCGAGAGAGGGAACACAAGCAGGGGGAGTGGCAGAGGGAGAAGCAGGCTTCCCGCCGAGCAGGGAGCCCGATGCGGGGCTCGATCCCAGGACCCTGAGCTGAAGGCAGACGCCTAACGTCTGAGCCCCCCAGGTGCCCCAGGAATGATGTTCATGAAAGTTGGGATAGTGGTTACTTTGGCTGTGAGGGAGTAGGAGATCATAGCGACAGGAACAAGGGTGTCAGGGGTGCCGGCAGCATTCTCTGTCTTGACCTCAGTAGGTGTTACACTGCAGTTACCTTTGGGATAAAACAAGCTGTACATTTTTCTATTTTTGTGTGTTGTTTTTGTTATAATTTACATATAATTTTTTAAGTTAAGAAAAAGCTGAGTCAAAAGAACAAAATTCCTTAGATTTCAACTCCAGTGTCTCATTTCAAGACCACAGTGCTGCTTCTCCCTCCTTTTTTTTTAAAAACCGCTTTATGGAGATTTAATTCACATACCATAGAGTGTATCCACTAAAAGTATTCGGACAGTATATTCACAGATATGTGCAAGCATTATGCTCTTACTTCCTACCTGTGCTTACTTCCTACCTGAATGATGGCATTATTTTTAGGTCTCTAGGTTCCTAGTTTTTGCGCAGGATGAGAGAGGGCCTGGGTGCCTGTGTACCCAGAGGGTAAGAACAGAGTCTCTGGAGGCAGACGGAACTGGATTCACATCCCAGCTTCCTCCCTGACCAGCTGTGTGACTGGGCAGGTTACTTGACTTCTCTGAGCCTCATCTGCACTTTTGGTGAATCTGTACCCGAAAGGGCTCAGGTGAGGGTTCAGTGGGATAAAGCGCTTAGTGTTGTGCCCAGCACATTGTAAGTGCTCAAAAATGGTCGGTATTGTTGGTGTTGTGGTATTTATTTGTGTGTGTATTTTAATTCTTCCTCTGTCTTTTCCTCCTTTGGCTGCAGGCGCGACCAGGGGATATCTGGCGACCAGGTGTCTATCATGGTGGACGGAGTCCAGGTTGCGCTCCCGTCCTATGAGGAAGCTGTGTATGGCAGTTCTGGTCACTGTGTGCCACCTGCTGACCCCAGGGTGCAGATCGTGCTGTCAGAAGGGTCTGGGCCCAGTGGGAGGAATGGGCCAAGGGAGCAGCAGTTGCAGGACCAGGGGGCTTGTTCCTCTGCAGGTGGGGAGGAGGCCCCAGGCCAGTCTGGACTATGTGAAGCCTGGGGCCCTCAGAGCTCAGAGACAGTGATGGTGCATCAGGCAACCACCTCTTCCTGGGTGGCCGGCTCAGGGAACAGCCAAGTGGCATACAAAGAAGCCCCAGATTCGGAGAACAGTGACATACAAAGCCTTTTATCCCTCACATCGGAGGACTACACAGATGGTAGGTGGTCTGCACTGAGCATGAATTATGAGCCGCTACTTGGCGGCCTTGCGGGGAGTGAGGAAGGACTATGAGCCTCTCTAATAATTGGGTATTGGGGGGCAAAGGAAGATAATACCTGGGGGATTAGCCTACAAAGTAAGGTCTCACCCTGAGCTCCTGGGGGGTGCTTCGGGCTCTGTATAGGAGACTTTTGACTGTTGTCTGTGAATCTTGATAGTTTGGAGTTTCCAAAACTATTTGTGGCCACAGAGCTGTGCTAAATCAAAGGGAGGACAGCTGGTTGGAGGCGGGAGCGGGGTCTGTTCTCCTGTTATAATTTTTATGTTCCTGAAAGGATAGGAGTGACAAGGAGGTATGAGGTCACATTACAGAGAAAACGAGCTGGTCTCTCTTCCAGGGCATTTAGCAGTTTCATTTGAAACAGGGGTGTGGCACTCCTGTGTAGTCGGTTCTCTTGCATTATCTCGATTAAACCTCACAGTGATCCTGAGAAGTAGGTGTTATTACCATTCCTACTTTACAGATGAGGAAACTGAGGCCAGAACGTATGTCACTTGCCCATTTGTAAGTGGCTGAGCTGGGATTTGAAGCCAGATGGATCTGGCTCTGAAGCCTGTTTATAACCCACAGTGCCATGCTGCCTCGCAGGTGACTTCGGGTTCTCTGTGGCAGGACAGCTGTAGAAGGAAATTGCCACTTCCTGACCTGTCTGCCTTTTCTGGAGCCTGGAGAGTTGAATATCGGGATTGACCCAGTCACTTTAAACAGTATCTTTACATGAAACCCCAGTGTGGTTCAGGATGCAGCCTAAACCTAGCTGTTTCCCTTTGGACAGGGAGGCTTCTGCACTAACCAGGCTCCTTGGAAAGCCAGCGAGGAATCAGTGTGTGCCCTGGGAGTCCTGGACCCCGTTAATGTCTGAGGCTTAGAGTATCTAAAAGCAAAGAAGTTGGAAATTCTTGAATGCAGATCACATTTAGGAGTTTCCTGAAATCAACAGCATGCCTTCTTTTGGTGGGATAGAGAGCTAGGAAGGGGTCGCTACACAGTTGACCCAGGTCTGAAGGTGGAAGCCAGTGACCCCGTGGATAGCCAGCTCTATGTATTAAGTGTCTGCACTTACTGACACCTGTCCCAAGTGCACTGCTCGGCCCTTACCTTTCCTCGGGAGCCTTGACGGCGCCTGCTCTTCTCCCTTCTTCTCCTTGCTACCTTGCTTTGTTCTGTTTATTGAACAAGCATTTTTGAGAACCCATCTTGTGCCTGGTGCTAGTTAGGTTTCTGGGGGGATAGAAAGTAATTTGAAACCTGCTGTCTGCCTGCATGGATGGTCAGTCATTTGGGAAGATCAGGCCTATATTTGAGAAATAATGGAACCAGAAGTTGTAGGGTCCATGTCAGAGTGAGGGGCACAGAAAAGATACAGTTTCTCCAGCTCGTTGCAGACTGACTGAGCCGTCTGCACCTGATGGCCTGGTAGGAAGTCAGGACCTCGAGGCAACCAGGTGGACATAAAAGGAGATCAAGACCCAGAGAGGGGAAGTGAGTTACTCAGTATCACACAGCTGGTGGATGGCCGTAAGGTGGAGGTGGGACCTAAGCAGGGCTCCGCAGCCTTATAACGTGAGATTAAGGCTAGAAAGAGAAGCAACTAGACCAGCGGAGTCAAGGCAGAGAGGAGGTCCAAGGTAGTGGAACCAGAGGGGATTCGAATACTAGACTGAACATTCAGATTTTATCACAAACGTAGAGGGAGAGATGAACAAGGAAGGCCTGAAGAAAGGGCTGAGGGGTTTAGACTCGTTAGAAGGGTATGAGTGAGGCTTTTTTTTTTTAATTAATTTATTGATTTTAGAAAGAGAACGTGAGTGGGGGGAGGGGCAGAGGAAGAGGGAGAGAGGGGGGAAGAAGCAGACTCCTCGTTGCGCGTGGAGTCCCATGTGGGGCTCGATCTCATGACCCTGAGATCATGACCTGAGCCAAAATCAAGAGTCGGACGCTTAGCCGAGTGAGCCACTCAGGCGCCCCTGAGTGAGGCATTTTATTTCTTCAGACCAGGGCCTGCATGGGGACCCTGAAGTGGGGTCAGCTGTGCTGCAGAGAGAGCTCCAGCAGGGTAACCACTGTGCTTTCCTGTCTTCTCTTCCTGCAGATATCCCACTGTTGAAAGAAGCATGAGCGCTGTCACGGGCCTCTCCTCTCTGCGACGGTCCTCTCTGTCCTTCTGCCCTCTCCTGGGGTTTTGAGCGCCCTGTACTCCAGCCACCCTACCCGGATACCTGAGCTGCCACCTGTGTATCTGTGTATCTCTGTATGTCCAAGGGCCTCCAGGCCTGCCTTGCTGGAAGCTCGAGGAAGAGTCTCGCCATCTGCCTGCTGGACAGCTGGAGGAACTGGCCTTTTGCCTAGCCTGGCCTTCCCATCTGTGTCGGGGACATATTTGAATGCGCTGGACTGAACTCTTCCTTTCCCAGGGCCCTCTGGGTCCCCCCCAGCCAGCTCTCTGGCGGCAGACCCCACCAGCCTGTGCGGGCCTGAGAGCCGCTGTGTTTACTTGTGCCTTCCCCCCAGCCCCTCCAGTTCCCCTGTCAGGTGGGCTTGTGGCTGTCCTACAAGCCTTAGTGGCTGCCCCGCGGCCTCTGCCACACAGGGGGCTGGGGCTGGGGCTGGCCTCTTACCTCGGAGGGCTGGCACTGCTGCCCTTAGCAGGGGCAGATCCAAGGGTGGCTCTAATTAGGGCAAGAATGTGGGTCCCTGGGCCTGCCCTTAGTTGACACCGGTGGCACATTTCTTTGGCTGAAGTTGGAGGATGTGGGGAAAACCATGCCAAAGCTATGCCAGCACCCAGCTGTCTGGCTCCGAGGTGCTGGCTCCTGGCCCTGTTGAGTTCCCAAGAAGCATGGAGAAGATCCTGAGGGAGGGAAGGAAGGTGGCTGATAATGGTTGTCTTCCTGATATGCGAGTCCTCACTTCCTACGTCCAGCATTGGCCTTCCTGGCCGTAGTTCTCTCTGTGTCACTGGAGTGTAAGGGGAAGTGGCCTGCTGCCTCCTGGGCTGAATCCTTGGCAACCTCCGCTTCCTTGCTGCCCACAGGGCCCGAGGTGAATCATCGCTGGGACAGGAGGGTTGCTGAGGTGCTGCGGAATGCCTGTGTGGCCACCGGCATTCAGGGCAGGTTGCCCTGTTCTGGGTTCGTGGTGACGCAGGGGAGCCTGAGAGGCACAGACCGAGTCCCCAGGCAGCTGCAGGCGGCTCCAGCCCCGGTCTTGAGGGTCCTCGTCACCACAGTCACGTGCCTTAGTAACTGCGCCCAGAAGCATGCTGCTGCTCGCCGCACCGCTGCTTTCCCTCCTTGTGTTCCCCGGCCCCCCTCCCACATGTCACAGCGGACACAGGGCTCCCTGCTCCCCCCGGCACCTGGGCGAGGGGCTGACAGCCCCCGACACCCCGCCTCGCTGGTCTGCAGTGGGTGAAAGCTCGCCAAGCAGCCTGGCCCCGGAAGCCCTGCCGTCGAAGGGGGTGGGCTCCATGCTCCCCGATGCTTCTGGGGGGGCTCTCGCTCTGCCACCTGTGGGTGCTGGCCAAGGCTGGCCAGGGCTCAGCCAGGCTACTGCCATCCTCAAAAGATGTGGCGTTGAGGAATGCTTATTTCTGTTTTGTTTTTGAAGCACTGGGCCTGGGAGACTTGTCACTGACCCTGCCGGCACCTCTGCTCCTGCCCAGGCTGCTCTGTTTGGGGTGGTGAGAACAATAAAGAACCCAGTTTATTTTCAGTACCTGACCTAACAGGGTAACTCCAGGCGTGGGCGGCCGCTAAGATTAGGGGAATGGCCTCCTCTCGGCCTCCTGCGTCACTCTCTCACGCACTTTACCGCCCGCTCCTTCCCAGCCTCCTGGCACCACTGTAGGCTTCCTTCGCTCAGGGTAAGGGCAGTGCCTGCTGGGCCTGTGGGCAACCCCCTTCCTCCCTCCAGGAGCCGGCTGGTTCCATATGGAGCGGGGTGACAGAGATGCTGGAACACAAGCCTCCGAGAGACCTGCAGATGACTGGGGAGCCTGGCCTTGGCCTCCGAAGAGGCCATTTCTGGAGACGTGCCTCCAGCAGTCGCTAGCACTGGGCCCATCTGGAGGGTGGGGTCCCTATGGACCCGAGTTGCCTCTTCACGCACGGAGGGGTGCCCTTGTCTTCCTCCAGAAAAGAAAGCAGGGACAAATGGTGGAGGGATCCAAAGTCTCACTGTTGGGCTTGCAGCCTAGAATATTTTTTAAAATGGAAAATCTTACCCCTTTTTATACCATTACTCTGGGTTTTCCCCCCTAAGAGACTGCACTATTTGTTTTGGGTTTGTTCAGCCACATAGGTGACCGGCTTAGCCCTTGGGGGAAAAAAAAAAAAAAAAAAGAAAAGCCTTTCTTCTGAAGCCTTCTTCCACCTCGCCCACCGTTAACACCATCCTGGGGATCACAAGCCCAGACTTGCCTACCTGGTTAGGAAAGAAAGTCTGGATAAGTGGGAACCTAGTGCGCACACACTCCCTTACCCCCTCTCTCCCCCCTCTGCGTCATTGGCTTTGCTGAGGCCCCCCCTCCCATGCCCCTGTCCCGGGAGCCCCCTGGGCCTCCCATTCACCTCGGACTTATCTGGAGCAGTTTCTTAGCCATCAGCCAGGTGCTGCTGTTTCTAGGGCTTCTGGGCTTTGTCCCTTTTAAGGGATTAGGGACTCCACAGCTGCCTTGCGGTGGAGCCCGGTGGGGAAGACAAGGGCCGGGAGACAAGGGCCGTGGCAGGGAGCAGGTCGTTAGGCGGGAGGCTGCCAAAGGAGCCTAGAGCCGGTGGGAGAAACGCCCAGGGCCTGGCTTTCCAGGGCTCACCTCTAGGGGAGTCCAGCAGAGGGCTTGTCCAGGAGAATGGCCTGAACCAAAGGACTAAAAAGTGTCTTTTTGCACACATGAGCTGACTCAGTGCAGGTTTTATATCCTGGTGACTTGCAGTCACATGCCAGCGACTTTCAAGGGCCAGTATGTGGTGAAAATCGCTTAAGATTTCTGTCCCTTTCAATGCCTTAGTTTAGCAGATAGGCTCTCTGTTTTGCTATTTCTGAATTTTGTGTGCTGTGTTCCTGTTTCACTGGTGTGAACTGTGAAATGGGCTGAATCCTAGCCACTTTGCAAGTTCTTTTGGCTTTACATGGCATTTCAATGTGCATTCTACTAACACTCCATTTGCAAACAGAACTTAAGCTCATGTTGTCTTCCCCATTCATCCCTTCCTCCTACTCCCCCCCCCCCCCCCCCAACTTTCAAGTTCTTTGGAGAAGCCTGATGGCAAGACAGACAAAGGTAGACTTTTCCTGCTTCTTTAGTGATGGCACAGGGATCCACAGGCACTCGGCCTCTCCCCTCCTGGTTCTGCCTGAGCTCTCAAACCACCTGCTTGCCACAGAGCAATGTCTCTTTCGTTCGCAGGGAACACCGTCACATAGAAAATGGGATATGCTGCAAACACTTCTACATCCTTGCCTTTCTTTCCTCCTTAAAGAGAATAAAGGACCCAGAAGGGAAGTGGTACACAGGCTTTATAGTGCAATTCCGGATGTGCTTGCTGAGGACAGTGATGCTGGGGGCTTCTCTCGGGGGGTGCTGCTTGGGGCCCTGGCTCTCAGTAGAGGGCCAGTCGCTCCCGGTGCTCGGGGAGGGGCTGCAAGAGATTATGCTTGGCAGAAGCATGGACCGAGTGGTAGAGTAGCTGGTTTCCTGGACAGGGAAAGGCAGCAGGCTCAGCTTTGCTGGGAAGCAGCTCCTCTTAATCTCCAGTTGAAAACCTAATAGAATTTTGAATGAAAACCCCCAGGTTGAGCCCTCCGTCGGGCAGCAGAGCTAACTGGAGGGCATGTAGGGGCCAAGCACTCAGATTGCCAAGCAGGAGGAGAGATGGACTTGGGTTGCATGGCAGCCCACCACACCCTGCCCTGGCTTCTTATCACACCACTATGGAATCCTTTGCAGAATGGTACTCCTATATAATGGTTTCAAACGACACATGCATCATTGACTCTGTGCAGGATGTCACTCAATCAGTTTGGGTTTGCTTTATTTTATATATATATTTTTTGGTATCCTGTACATTGCAGTGGGTGTGAAGATAGTATTTTAATATTTGTACAAAGTTTAATTTAATTTTAATTGTTCTATGTATATAACTGCATTTCTAAATAATTAAAAAAAGGTTCTTATGAAGGCGGTTGTGAGAGAGGTGATCCTTCCAGAAAGTTTTTGCAGAAACCCGAGATCGAAAAGAGTGCATGTGGTGGGAGCTCATGATGGGATGAAGCGCCAGCTCTAGGGTGGGGTGCCTAGCAGGAGCGGACGGGACAGGGAGTGTGCCATTCGGGGAAGAGAAAGCACAGGCCTTGGTGGAAATAGATTCATGTCTCCTCAGAGGTCCTCAGTATGGCAGCCACTGTGCTGCACTGGGACTGTGTGGAATCTCCCCCGTGCCAGGAAGGCGGATGGTTCCAACAGCATGCCTCGATGATCCGGGAAGCTATGCCGGGGGTCGGTCAGCAAACATCCTTTAGATGGATGGCAAGTAAGCTGGGATGCAGAGGGCCCGCACAGCCAGGCTAAGGGGCGGGACGCCACACATGTGCCGAAAGCAGGTGCAGTGGGGGAGGAAGAGGAGTGGGTGTCAGGGCTGAGGAGGGGGCAGCAGCAGAGGCTGGGTGGCCCTGGCCCTCTGGGCCCTCCGAGTGAGGAGTGGGGAGGTTTGACTTCATCTTCTGCGTGGCTGGAAGTGCTTTGAGCAACAGTGACTTGGTGAGCTCCCCTTTTCTGGGGCGAAGCTCTCCCCATCTCTTAAGAGGGATGTTCAGGGCAATAAAACACTACCGGAGAGCACGTAGGAAATTGTCGGTCTCAGGAGGAAGGCAGTGTGAGCAGCTAGCAACCCCCTCTCTGAGCTGGGGAGACGGAAGGCACGGTTTGCGGGGGGAAATGAGGGAGTTCTCGGACCAGAGGGCAGAGCACACAGAGGTGGAGACGCCATCCCCACGTAGGAGAGGCCCACCGTATCTGAGCAGCTGCAGCAGGTGGTAAGGGTGCGAGAAGAAGGAAGATGGCGAACTTGGGGTAAAAAATCGGGCCACTCTTGAAGTTGCTCTGGGGATAATTAATGGCCAGGGTGTGTTTCTCTAGTACTTCGGGTCAAGTGGGGAAATGTTTTAGGAGCATCCGCGCCAAGTCTCCACCTTAGTAACTAAGCCCCAGTCCTCAGGTCGAGTCTGCACAAACATCACTGCCCTTCGCTGCAAGGAGGCGAGGGGACGAGCGTTTCGCCAACTTCTCAAAGTTGCGGTGAGAGTAGCGGCTACGTGCAAGCGCTCACCCCGTACCGGGCAGAGTTCTGCGCGCTCTTGAGTGTGTGAACCCACGGAGCCACATCGCGGGCTGTACAAGGCACGTGCATCCAGCGCGCATATACTGAAACTGAAGCACAAAGAAGTGGATTAACTTGCCTGAGGCGGGGCCGAGACTGAACTCAAACCCAGGCAGTTCTGCGGAAGTGATCTTCTCCGTGTCCCGTTCCCAGCCCAGCAGCCAGACTCGGCCTGCCTCCCAAGGCCCTCACCGCCCTCTCTCTGCCTTTCAATCTCTGTTCCAACCAGTGAGCTTCAAGCGGAGGGAAAAGCAAGGTCATGGCAGGGAAATGACACCCGTTCACTGGGGGACACACGATAGACACGTATCCCAAAGACTGAGGAGTGACCGGCACGGGGTGGGGGAGGAGGCATTTCAGCTACGCAGACCGTGATCGGAAAAAAGTTCACAAAGCAGCAGGAGTTGCTCCGCCACAAGAAAAAAAAAATACGTAAAAAGGAGAAACTGCTTCCTTCTGTGATAGGTGCATCTTTGTTGCTGGAGAATGGACAGAAGTGTGTCCCATCAGGTAAGAAATGCTGGGGAAGGCAGCCTTGTCCACGTGGGGTCACCCATGGGGTTGTTACCTTTCTCTTGGAGACAGATGGGGGCGGTGCGAAGGAACAATGCTGGGCGGGGAGGGCTAGCTTTGAAGTGCTTTTGCCTCAGGTGGGGACAGGTGGATGGGAGGAGAGAAAAGGAATGTAGGAGAAGGTTGTTCCAAATCATGCACTCATTCCCACAGCCCACCAGCGTGGGGAATTACCATTTTTTTTTAAATATGCCAGTTGGAAGAAAATGGTATTGTTTTGATTCACACTTGTGTCATTATTCCTGAAGCTGAGTTTTGGAAGTATGGTTTGTCTACCCTTTATAACAAAAAGACATATTGAAAATTGTGCAAGTTGGGTGTTCAAGATGTCCATGTTTGAGATGAAAAGTCAAAACTGTAATTTCTCCTGTATAATTAAATAATGCATGATAGATGGATACATAGATACATAGCTAGTTCACTCCTGTCAGCTCCCTGGTGGTAGAGGAACATCTCAGGGACCGTCCCATCGCATGCCAAGAGGTGAACAGCTATTGGGCATTTCCCATTTCCCATGATACTCCAGTGCCCCCAGCAAAGAAAATTTCACAACCTAGGCATGTCCTGAGCAGCCCATCTGGGGCAGCTTGAACTATTCCTGAGCCTGGGGTAGTAGATGACTCTCAACCTGGCAGGGCACTGCGGAGGGTTTGGCAAGGATGGACTTCCCCACACACAGCTTCCCTGGAGGAGCAAGTAACCCACCTTCAGCAAAGGCAGCCTGTTTGCAGGTTAAGCCTGTGGGCCAGGGTTGAACGTCTGGGGTGATTTGGGGTGTGTGAAGGAAGGACTATGACTCAACACAAACACCACGCATGAGGGCTGCTGTGACTTCTGGGGTGGTCCTGAAGCCCTTGAAGATTCCAAAGACATAGGGACTTTTGGTGCCTTAGCCTGTCTATGGGATGGAAGGCCATCCCCACTCCTGCTCCAAGCATTTATTTGTTCATTCATTCAAAAAACTTTTTTTTTTTTTTTAAAGATCTAAATCTACTTTATACAAAGCCTGGTGTTGGATTCCAGGGGCCCAATAGTGAATAAGACTCAGTCTTTGTCCTCAAATAGTTTGCAGACTAATAAGGAGAAACAGCTACCTAAAACATAAGGCAGTACTTAAGGAGTATCTAACCGTCCACCAGTACAGTGCCTGGGTAGTGAAGAGGGAGGAAGAGTTCATGTCTTAGGGGGTTACTGAAGATTCCCCAGGGAAGGTGCCATTTATTTGACATCATGAAGAATGGATCTTGTTGCAGTACTGTAGGTAAGGAAGTAAGTGATCAAGGAGCTGTGGCATGGGAAGTGTGAAGAGGACTTTTTAGGCCATAGAGACCCTGTAGTAGAAAAGTACCAGCTTATACAATTATGACTCACCCAAA